TGGGCCTGCGCTGGCTGGGAGCTTTGCTTTCTGTGGCTTAAAGGGTAGAAAAGGACTTTGTCATTGAGGCCAGTTCTCTCTGTGTTCCAGGAGGTGAAGCCTCTTGGCGGGGCTATCCATATGTAAAAGTTTTCAAATGGGATACTCGGTATGTTCTGTAGCATTAACGCTAAAAGGCCTACATTTGGGGTAAGAACCTCTGGCAACCCTATACTGTATTGATCCCTATCTTCTGGATGAGTAAACTGCAGCTCACAGAACTTACGTGATTTACTCACAGTTCTTCAGTTCATAAATGTCTTTATCCCTCTTGGAGTAGGCATAGGAGTGACCCGTATGGTTGTACAGGTTGTTCACTGCACAAAGCGCCTGCTCAAATGGTAAGTGGGGACCCAAATCTAGCCGTGCTGTGCTCACCAAGTGTGCACCTTGTCTCATTTGCACAAAGGGGGCATATGGGCTAACACTAGCCTGAGTGTCATTTGTCTTTAGAAAGATGCTTCTCTCATGGTATCAAGGGCTGGGCAAGGGGACTCAGGTGGGGAAAGCTTGAAGGGAAGCCTGAGGGAAGCTTCTGGAAGATACTAGTAGTGTCCCCATCATCCTACCCTCACACATCAGCCTGGTTTCTAGAATCCCAAGAGCTGTTCCTGGGGCGTATTACAAGCACTCTCTCATCTTCCATTTAGACACGTCAGCCACCCCAAAGTAGGGTGGTTATTATTGCCATTTACTAATGAGGAGACTGAAGCTCAGAGAGGTAAAGTGACTTGCCCAAGGTCACACAGTTGCTAAGTCACAGAGCCTGGATTCAGATTCCAGTCTGCCTGCCAGGCCCAATGCCCTGCTTACCCTTTCCTGGGCCTGACCCTCCAGGGTCCATGAGGAAGGCAGAGGGACCCCCCCAGCCCCCACATCCTCCTCCCTTCCTGCTGGGCACCTGTGCTCTCCACCAGGGGGTACTCAGCCAGGTCTGTGGAGGTCACGACCTTGACCACCTCCTCCAGCGGCGTGTCCTTGGCCAGCGTGGTGATGGTGCAGTTCATGAAGTGCTCCACAGTCACGCGGTGGGAGCTGTGGGCAGAGGGAGGCTCCCCTCAGGTCCTGGGCTGGGGCGATATCGGAGCCCAGGATGGGCAGGGACACCTGGGGGCGCTTTGCTGGGACCAGGGACCCATGACTCTCGAATGTGGGCAGGGACTGAGAGGTTCGTGGAATGAGCGACTCCCAGAACCCCACAGTGGGAAGGAGCGTGGGGCCCAGTTCTGAACCCCCAGCCCCCGGGACCCCAGGCCCCAGACCAGCTCCACTTTGTCTGTTTTATACGCAGCCTTCCCTGGAGAATCCCATTTGAAGAAAAGTTAATGCAAAACCAAAAGAAAAACCAATAAACTTTAAAAACCACTGGAGTAACCACCCCATTTTACAGATGTTACAGGAAACAGGTTTGACAAGGTGGCGGCTTGGGACCCAGGGACTCCCAGAGCCTCTTAGCCCTGCTCCTCTCGGGCTAGAGGCTGCTCTGGTCCTGCCTGATCCAGGGAGGACCTCAGATCCCGTTTCCATTCTAGTTCTGCCTCCAGCTCCCAGCGTCCCAGTGAGGAGAGCAGGAGTGGAGAGCGGGGAGGGGACCTCCTAGATCTGGTGCTGACTCTCCGTGTGACCTGGAGCAAGGCCCCAGTTTCCACATCTGGCAAATGGGGCCATATCTGTCCTACTCTAGAGACCATCTGATGACCAGTAAGACATTGAGGCCTGAGGGGGCGCCAAGGACGTGCCCAGGGTCACAGAGGGTGCTGGGGAGAGTGGAGACCAGCTGTATGTCAGCCCTTCCCACCGCCCCACGTCCAAGGTCAACTGCAGTGGCATTTCTTTCTGGAGGGGCCCTCCGACCCCAGCCCACCCCGGACACCATCACCCCGTTAGCCAGCCCGAGGCCAGCACTGCTCACCCGATCTTGCGGCCGCGGATCCACGGCAGGTACGGCAGCTTCTTAACGATGATGGTGCCGTCGTAGAAAGAGGGCTGGCAGCTCTGGGCGATGGCGTTGGCTGCCAGCACCGCCATCAGCACAGGCAGTGAGTGCACAATCTGGCCGGTCAGCTCAAAGGCAAGCAGTGCCGTGGAGATGCTGTGGGTCACCGCCCCCGAGAAGGCCGCAGCCCCTGCGCGGCAGAGCGGGCAAGGAAGCTCAGGCTGGAGGGGCTGGAGGCCAGCGTCACTTGGAGGGCAAGGCTGTGCGCCATGGCCAGGGGCTAGGGTGGGAACTGTCCAGAGGCCACACCCGGGGGTGCCCCACCGCCTGGGCTTGGTGAGAGGAGAAGGGGACGGGAGGGTGTGGGGGATGGGCACCAGACAGGATCCAAGGGTGCAATGGGGCTCAGGGGTAGTGCGGCTCACAGGGTGACCCTGTGACCGCTCCAGGCCCTACAGAGCCACCAGCTGATCTCCCAAGTCCAGCCTGGCCCCAGGATGTCGTCCATCCAGCAGGGACCTGACCCACTCACCTGCCAGGGCGTACGCCCCAGGCACGATAGGATTGGTGACCCCTCCAGCCACGATGCCCTCGGGGAAGGCGACAGAGAGGGCCTCCCCCAAGAGGCGCCCAGTGGCAGCTCCTGACCAGAGATTTGGGGTGAGGGGCAGCCCGGCTGACCCGGCCCCCTCCATCCCTGGGGACCATCTTCCCGACCACCCCTGGGAACGGGGGTGAACCAGGAGCCGTGGCCCTGCCCCGGTACCCCGAACCTCTCAGAACCTCAGGACCCCAGACTCACCGAAGATGAATATGGGCATGAAGTAGCCGGCGGGCATGGGGATCGTGGTGGCCAAAATCAGCATCCAGAACTACAGGTGGTGGGAGACAATTGGGCAAGGCACGGACAAGGGAGGGGCGGGACAGCGGACAGGAAGAGGGAAAGAGGGCTCCCAGGCACGTGCCCATTACCAGTGTCTGGCGTTGGGGAAGGAACCTCACTCTAATAACGTGCCCACTGTGTGCCCGGCACCATGCCAGTCACTTTCCTTCCTCCCCCGTCAGCCTCCCTTTGTGGTGGAGACAGTAATTATTACCCCATATTAAGGGTGAGGAGACCCAGGCTCAGAGAGCTCAAGCAACTTGCCCAGGACCACACAGCAGGCAAGGGGCAGATTGGGAGGCCTGGGTGAGGCTCCAGCCCCCTGCTACTTGCTGCGGGGAGGCAGCCCCTGTCCCCACCTAAGCTGGCCTGGGCTCCACGCACACTCTAGGGGCCCCAGAGCCCACCTTCATAACCAGGAAGAAGGCGAGCGTCCCAAAGATGGTGAACGGCGGGTGGTACCATTCGAGCCACAGGTTCTGGGGGTCGGGCTCCTCGGGCCAGGGTGGGGACGAGTTCCTGGTCGTCAGTGCCCAGGAGTTGTTGTCGAACAGCGAGTCCAGGTGCTCACTCATGGACAGCTGGGGCGGGGTGGGTTGGAACCGGCATGAGGGGGCTGAGCCGCGGTCCCCAGCTCCCCGCTCGTGACCTGACCCCCCCTTAAACCTACTCTGCCACCTCCCAGCTGGGGACCCTGGGCGCAGCTCTTACCTCCCTGAGCTGTGGTTTCCTAGTCTGTAAAAGGAGCCCAGGCATCTCCCTTACGGGGCGTTGTAGGGGTAAGTGAGATAACGCACAAAAGAGGGGGCGACGAGTGGGGCCCCCCTCTCCCACCACCCCCAGCTCAGCACCCCTTACCCGAGAAGCTATGAAGCGGCCGACACCGGGTGGGTAGGTGATGGAGGCGAGAACCAAGGCCGCCAGGGCGGAGTACAGAGGCTTGCTGTTGGTGGGGGGAGCTCCAGTGCCGGCCCTCCTCTTCCCCCACCCCATGGGGGGAGACAGGGCCCTGCGCAGGCAGGAGCAGGCCCCCCACCCTGGGGCTGACTCCAAGGCAAGAACTGGGGGGAGGAAGGGTAGGAGGGGGACATGGGCTCCAGGGCCTGGAACATCAGATCAGCCCCACATGCTCCATGTGACCAGTCCAGAGCTGGCAGCGGGGGTGAGGCGGAGAGAGCTCGAGGCAGGGGCAGGCTGGGAGGGAGGACGGAGGGAGGCCAGGCCGGATGGGGCTCGTGCAGCCTGGGGCAGAAGGAGGGCTGCCCAACGCCAAGGCCAGGGGGCAGACGAGGTTTGGGGAGGAGGGGTTACTCAGGGGGCTGGGGCTCAGTGAAGGGTGTGGGCTCAAGGCAGGGGTTGGGGGCTTCAGTGAGGGGCTTGGCAACCCAATAAGGTGGGAGGGGCAGTGAGCATGGGGGCACGGAGACGGGGGTTAGCAATGAGGGCTGGGGGCTCCACACATGGGGTATGGGCTGGGGAGTGGTTTGGGGGCTCAGTGGGAGGCCAGGGGCTCAGGTGGG